CAAGAAGAAAGCTTTGATATAGCAGCTTTTTACCCATTTTTTCGAATGCCCACAGTAATTGTAGAGATCCCTTAGAATGGAGGGATCCAGGGACCCAAAAGGGGGGCCATCTGCTTTGGTTGTCTAAGGGATAAGTGGGCCAGGCCTGGGTGCTATATTTGATCAATTTTGGGGGTTTGATGTCTGGTGTCAAGGAGAGGGTTTTGAGGTTATCCAAGAGGCATTGTAGGGGAGAGTCGACCGGCAGAGAGGACACATTACCCATGTCGCAAAGTAGTATAAGGAGGAGGGAAGAGGACGCAAACGTAGTGTAGGGGAGAAGGAAGGAGACGCAACCGTAGTATAAGAGAGAAGGAGGAAACTGATTTATTGGCAAAAGGGGCATCCCCGCTAGAGCCAAAAATCAGGAGTGCCTTAGTGGCAGGTTCGAGCTGCAGAGATTGGTCATCACCGAATCCTGACAGTCGAAGCTCTCATCCTGGACGGAGCTGGAGCCGTGGGAGACCTTGGCCAAGGCTTTTCTTTTCGGGACCCCTCCTGGAGAGGCCGGAGACTCGCAGGGCAGGAAAGAGGGGAAAGAGAGAGACAGGGGAAGAGGGAGGAAGGGGAGGGTAAGTGTCTGAGGACTAGGATTTTAGGAGAGCCACAGAGATGGTGAAGGTCTGGGTGGACTGTGATGTTCAGTTCTCTGTTATGTGTCCCTGGAGGTTACACAGTCCTTTGAGGGAGACCTACAAAGCCTATGCTGGTAACTAACAGCTGGGAAGGGAAGGGAATAATTTTGAACCCAGGAGTCTATTCTGCCCTAGGAAGGAGTCCCTGAGGGCCACCGTAGCCTTAAAGGCTGTGGTGGGGTGTTTTCCTCCCCGCAGGTGGGCAAAGAGGTTTGCCGGACAATCAACGGCCAAATCCTCCTGACACCACCACTGGGTTTAGGACTCCAGGAAGGGGAAACTCACCAATCGAAGGTCGGTGGTGGATGGAGTTCTGGCAGTCGAGAAAATGGGTTCAGGCCTGGGTTCAGGCCATCCGGTGAGTGGCACTTCCGAAGGAAGAGGGACCCAAAAGTGGGTTTTAACCCTCTCCTGGGTTTCGGCACCAATGAAAGGAAAGTGACCACAACACTCGGAGCAACCAAAAGATCTTTACTGCAGCAGTGCCACAAAGAGAAAGGAAAGAAGGAAAGAGAGAGAGAGAAAAGAGAAGAGATGAACAGGGAGAGAGCAAGAGAGAGACAGAGAGCGCGCGTAAGAAAGATAAAGAGCAAGAGAGAGAGAGCAAGAGAGAAAGAGCAAGAGAGAAAGAGCAAGAGAGAGGGGGGCCTGGCAGGAGGGAGTTTTTATAGCCCAAATCTAATGGGGCCTCTGAGTCTGCACGCTGCCTTGTTGGCCCAAGGGGGGTTGAGTGCTCAGCCTTAAGCGGGACTTGACACAAACAGGTGATAAAGGACCAGATAGAGGGGGGTTTGAGTGCGTGGGTTATCTTGCAGTCAACATCTGTTCAGCCTGTCCTGCAGACAACACAGTTCAGCCTGCTCTGCACCCAACACCAAGAGTCCCTGTCTCTTAAGGTTTTGAACGATCTCCAGTAAACCTCTCTTTGCCTCTGGGTGCAGGGGGTACTGTCTCTGGTGCAGGAAGACGGAGGGATCCTCCAAGGTTACTTTAACTGGAACGGTGCTCAACTTGCCCATGTGCCCCCACCGGCCCTACTTCTGGGTTTATTCGGGTTTGTATCACATTCTAATAGAGGTAGACATAATGGGCCCTGGGGTCCCAGATTCATGGTGATGGAAGTCTGAATCTTGAGAGTGTATCTCTTCCCAAGAAAGGGGTAGGGCACTCTGGGACGTTCAGGAATGAACGAGAAAACATCACCCCGTCCCATTCACAGCCTAACTGGGGAGTAAAATATCTAGTGCTGGGCCTCCCAGACTCCCTCGCACAGCATGTTAACAGAGGAAGGCGTCCAGGAGACACACCGGAAAAGCTGGCACCAGTGTCCAGAAGGAAATGACCTCCTGAGACTCGTGCCAGGGTTCATGTGTAGTAATGGGAGTTCTGGGAGCCATTAAGGTTGACCCTGGGCCCCCTCAGGCCAGGTTGGGGGGAATCTCGCCCTGTGAGCCTGCACCCCGAGGACATTCACTCCTCCAGTGATGGCCCTGACTGACAGCACCAGGCCTAGGTCCTCAATGGGGGCTACATCACCTGTTGGCATTCCCACTTTTCTACAGTGCAACCAAATTCCTCTGATTCAAGGTCCACGCCATTCACTCCTTTAACGTCCGGAAGCTTGCTCCCTCCAGGGCCATGACCAGTGCTTCAGCCGCCCGGTCCCTTTCCTCCCTCTCCTCCTGATCTGTTTTGAAAGACAGCCGATAGGAGTCGAGGATGTCAGCTAAGGACTCATCAGGGCCATGTGCCCACGTCTGTGACTTCTCCTCAATGTCTCGTGTCAGATCAGTGGGGGCAGGCAATGGCCAAAGGACGCAGATTTAAAAGGGCCGCTGAACAGGCTTTATTGAGATATCACTCCCACAGAGGGGACAGGAGAAGGGTCTGAGGAGAAACCGAGTGGAAGCTCGACCGGACTGGACTTTTATGGGGCTCACAGCAGGAAGGGAAGGGCTTGGGACAGGAAAAGGTGTTTTTAGGGTCCCTTGGCCCCTTGGAGTTGGTCAGGGGAGTTGGCTGAACTCCAGGATCGGCCAGGGGGTCCTGCTGATTGACAGGCGTTAGTCAGGAGATCTGGCTGATTGACAGGCATTTCAGCCAGCATCTGATTGATGTTCTTTTCCGGTGCGGGCTGCTTTGTTCTAAGTTGCCACTAAGTCGCCACCGACCTAACAGCTACTGCAGGGGTTAGTGGGAACCCTTGGGATTTCTCTGGCCTCTCTACCCTGGCAGGTGTCTTCTCCTAGATGCTCTTCCATCGTGGTGAAGCCAGATTTAAAGAGAGGTAGTTAGTGTAGTAAGATAAAAACTGAAGGCCACATGGAGAATGGAGCCCCGGAAAGCAGAGCAGCCCTCGGGGAAATTGAAATGTTAATGTCCCCAAGGCCCAGAGCCTGTCCCAAAGAAATGTTAATGAAACAGCTCCCAGCAAACAGGGAGGTGCTAATCAGAAGCGGCCCCAGGCCCTTCCTGCCCAGATTACACCTCCCCCCATCTGCCCCTCACCTCTGGGGTCTCCCCACCTACATTCAACCACTGCAAGATAACAAAACAAAGGACAGGGACCCGATGGAAATGTGGGGAAGCTGAAAGAAGACCTTAGCTATAAAAAGGGAAGACCTCCCCTTCCACGTACTCCACCTCTTGGGTCCCCTTCTTCCGGAAAGTCTTTCCTGCTGTCCTTTAATAAAGCTCCCACTGTCCACTCTCCACTGGCCTCCGCGTGCTTCTCTTATCCTTCAGCATGGGGAAGCCAGGGCTCGTCACTGGTAAACCGCGGTGACAGTGGCAGCAATCTTAGCAGGGTCTAGCTTACACTGCAACATAATTTGGGGTTCTCCCTCCGAGCAAGGGAACCTCAGGCCATTCTCCTTCCTTCTTACAAACACACTAAGCTGCAAGACAGCATTGAAGGTCATTCTCCCTCTGGCGGCCATGATTCTCCCTGGAACTCCCACTGAGGCCATGCCTGACAGCAGAAGAGAATCAGGAACCTGAACATCTGTGGATCAGACTTGTCCCAGATTTTCATTAGGCAGTCTAGTGGTGATGAGCAAGTGGCATTGGGGACACTTTATGAAGTAGACATTCAGAATCAGGAGGGCCTGTTTTAGTCAGGTTTGTTTTTTTGTTTTTGCTGCTGAGACCAAAAATCCTGAAAGAACAATTAGAGAGGGGCTGGGGATGTGGCTCAAGTGGTAGCGCGCTCTCCTGGCATGCGTGCAGCCCGGGTTCGATCCTCAGCACCACATACAAACAAAGATGTTATGTCCGCCGATAACTAAAAATAAATAAATATTAAAAATTTAAAAAAAAGAACAATTAGAGAAGAAAAAGTTTACTTGAGGCTCACAGTTTCAGGGGTCTCAGTCCACAGATGGCTGACTCCATTCCTTAGGGACTGAGATGAGGCAGAACATCATGAGGGAAAAGTGTGGTGGAGAAGCAGCTGGGGACAAGGCCACCAGATGCAGAGAGGGAGAGGCTTCAACAAGGACAAAATACAAATGCAGGCCCCAGGGACCCCTCCTCAGCCACACCGACCTGCCTACTGGACCTGCCTAATGGCCACTCGGTTATCCCTTCCAGAGGATCCGGTTAAGGATCCCATAAGCCTATCACTTCACCCCGAACCTTCTTGCATTATCTCACACATGACTCTGGGGGACACCTCACATCTAAACCAGGACAGAACCTTCCTAATGCTAGCCTGTACTCCACGTCAGAGGATCCCATCCTGAGTGGGATCCCCATGCATCCACAATATCGGGGATCTTCCCTGAGGTGTCAGACATACAGCTGAAGTCCCCTGCCCCTGAACCCCTGAGGGTTGATGTTATAGTGCAGAGATGATTAACAAGTAACAGAAACAAAAACTGAAGGGAGTGCCAAGACACAATGTGTCCTGGGTGGGACCAGTGTTAACCAACTTCTGCACCAGGCAGGGGGACTGGGGGCTCCAGGATCCAGGACCAGCCCAAAGCTCAGGGTGAAAAATGGGAAAAGAGGTTTGAAGGACAAGAAGCATGAGTCAGCCTCACCAGACCTGCCCTGCCCCCAGGTGAGACCAAGGACCAAGATTCACAGTGACAGCCAGGCCAGTGCCTGCTGGATTCTACCATGCTGGAGACAACCAGGGCCTGGTCCCAGAGCTGTGAAACAGACTTACAGATGTCACCACAGACATCTTGCAACACACATAGAATCTCACTTTTAGCCCCAAGGAATAAGCCCCTGAAGCCCTTCTAAACTGATCTATCCCACTGTCTCAAGGGGGCAACGTTGCAACGTATGCAGTCGAGGGGAGAAATAATGTCCATGCACTTCTGCCCCTTTCAATGCTTTATTCACTCAAATCACTCCATACAGTTTCACTCTGTAGGTTCTTAACCAAGAAAAAGACAATCCTTAATGCTGGGCACTGCAATAGACATAATCAATTCACAGCAAACAATTCTAGATTAAGTCTAAGTACTGCAAGCACTCTTAATCACAATAGACTAATGACAGACATCCCCTCTGCAAGATAAGTTCAAAAGTCCTAAGTCTTAGGCTTTATGTCCAGCAGATGCCCACCCACTCAGACTGTGGTGACCAGGTCCGAAACCAAGCAGGCTTTTCCTGGCATGCAGTGGACAACCGGTTGAGGAGGGGGTCTTAGGGAGAAGTTGCGGCTCTCACCAAGGTCCAGACAAGGCGGTAGAGTTTGAGAGTGGTGACCATCACGCAGAGGCTCAGGAAGGATGACAAGTGACGGGATGTCAGGTCCTCATCAGGCTCTCTAGCTCAAGTGCATCCTTGTTTTGGGTGGCTGAATCCCTGTTCATTTGCTCTATTATTTTTACTACATTTGGGGGCTTTTGACCCCCCTTTCAATCCTTATCAGCTACCACTGGATTTCTAAGTGACATCATTTACCCTGGGGTCAGAAACATCTGGTCTGGTGTCTCCCCGCCCCCTCATCTTCTCGCCCTTCCCTCTTATCAGGAGAGGACAGCCTGCCAGGGGCTTCACTCTGTTGATCAGGGTCAGGGGAAGTGACTTGTCTGAGGCCACACTGGAGGGCTCTGTGGGTGTGCCTGGTGAGCCTGCAGGTTTCAAACTGGAGTTTTTAAAATGGAGTTGCTTAGGCTCAGGCCTAGGGCCATCCTCACAGCCCCCATCCTATGAGAAGGCATCCTGGAGACCATGCAAGAAGATGGTCTGTCCCTGAAGACTCATGCCCACTGAATGTGCCCCTATCTGGCTCCAATGGCAGGCCTGTTACAGGGCGGCCTTGGCCCCAGCCCTCCCTGGCTACCCTAACACCCTCCCTCACACCCCCACCGTGTCTCCCCCCACCTCTGGGAGTGGAGCTAAGGAGCCCTTTCCCTGGGGCCCTCCCTCCTGTCACTGCAGCTGCCACCCAGCAGGACTGCAGGGCCAGGTGGGACTGCTTCTACAGGAAATGTGCCATAGAAAAGCGAAGTGTGACTGCAGGGAAGAGGTGGTGAGAGTCGGCCGCCCACAGCCATGGAGGGGGCTCCGCAGAGGGCCTGCAGCCAGACACAGCTCCCTGCTGGTGTCCCCAAACAGCGGCCTGCCTGGCCTGCCAGGGTGGAGCTGAGGACAGGGTCCCCGGTGGCTGCAGGGCCACGTGCAGGTTGGCGGAGCCACTTCCTGGGCATCTGGAGACACAACAGCTGATGCTCTGGGAGAGGGGAGGAGAGGCGCTGGGACTTCTAAAGGGTCTTGGTGCCCTTGCACAGGGGCAGGCCAGGCTGACTGGTGGACCCCATGGCTGCTGCAGCACACAGGAGGCTGTGTCCCTCCTAGGGCCAGTCCTGGCAGGACAGGAGGCAGCCCTGGGCCCAGAAGGAGAGGTTCCAGTTAGATCTGTCAAAACCAGTGCCAGGGGGAACAGAAACCAGAATCCCCCACCTCCTATTCCCACCTCATCCTGCCTCCCCCAAGGCTGCCCAACCTTGGGATGGTCCAGGGACAGCCCAGCATGGAAGCAGGTGCAGGCTAAGGACAGGCTTAGGGCCCGGTGTTGCTAAGTCCTCTGGCCTCTTCACCCTCCCCACCCACCCATTCAGCCAAGGGATTCCCACACTGCACCTTGGGCCTCGGGCAGATGGGTCTGGCCCCCATAAGCCTGGGCATCAGTGACTGTCACCCTGACTGGTGGCCAGTTAAGCCTCACCAGGCTTACCCTTCTGGATAGCGAGAAGCACCGGCCAGGCACGTGGCAGGATCCGGTGGACCCGGTGGGAGAGTGGGCCCCGCCGGGACTCAGGTACACCTTGTGTGAGAGAGGGGCTACTGAGGTCTCAGTTCCCTCTCTGGGTGTCACATGGAACCTGGGAACGCCGCGGGCTCACAGGCTCCAAGTCAGTGTCCCAGGATGGAGGGCCAGCGGCGCAGCCACTGGACCCCTGTAGGCCGGCACCTGGACGATCCTCGGGTCGGGAACGCGTCCCCCGAGACCCCCGCCCCCAGCACGCACAACGCCGGGGCCCGCCCCCGCACCCCGCGGAGACCGCCCCCCGCCCGCCGCGCCGCCCCGGCCCCGCCCGCCCGCCCGCCGCCTCCCTATCCGGCGCGGCGCTCGGCGTGCAGGGGAGGCTCGTGCAGGGGAGGCTCCTGCGGTCGCCGTACGCGGCGCGCGAGGTTGGGCAGCTCGGCGAGGCCGCGGCGCCTGCGTCCTCCCGGCGGTGAGTCTGTGGGGCCCGGCCAGGGTCGCCCACGTAACCTGCGGGGACCCGACCGGCGGGCCGCCTGGGCCGCAGTGCGCGCGGACGGGGAGGGAGGGGACAGCGAGAGCAGCGCACGCGGAGGCGCCGGGAGGGTCGGAGGAAGCTGGGAGTCGGGGGCTGCCGGCGGGCCTTCCGCAGGGTGAGCCCTTCCTCCCATCTCCCAGCCGTCCCCGCATGTTTCCGAATATCTGGGCAGAGCCGGCGAAGACCGCTGCCCGGCCCTCTTCCAGTGGACGCGGGGCCCATCACCCAACTCCAGGCAGCCGGACTTCCCGCGTGGGGTCTGGGGAGGGACAGCCTGCCAGACTGGAGGAGGAAGCCGGGAACCTGGGGAGAGCCCCTGGCGGGAGGGGGAGAATTAACTACCTGGGGGGTTGATTACCTGGGGGCTGGAACCCGCCCTAGGGAGGGGGAGCGGATGGCTTTGTTTTGACCTAGATTATGCATGCGAAGGAGGTGCCTCCTGAGGTGGGCCACCTGGTCCCTGGAGGCCTGGACTGACTACCACTAGATTCCTGGCTTTTCCAGAGACAGGGGAGCTGGGCCTGGGTCCCAGGGGCACTGCTCCCTGGGCCTGTTGGCTCCCTTTGGCTGCCTTTCCTTTGCCCATTCAGAAACATAGGTGTTCCCGGTCTCCACCCCAGTGGATGCCTTTACTCATCCCTGCAGGGCCTGCTTGGTCAGGTGCCCCCAGTGGGTGGGTGGGGATGCCTGCTGGACCTGTTTGTCCCTGTGCATGCCAGAGCTTCCTTGGAGACAGCTCAGGATTCCTCCATACCACAGCCTCACTTTATGGAGGAAGAGCTTCTTCCTGCCTGGGCTGCCTGGTGGCAGGAACAGACGCGGCTGAGCTTGGCACTAACATTGGCCATCTGGGACTCCTGTTCCAGACTCTTAAGATGTCAGTAGAGGTTCAAGCTGGATGGGAGAGGCCTGGGGCCCATTTGCACAAACCCGGCCTGCAGCTTTCCCTTCCAGAGTCTCCTGCGAAGACCTGCACCCCTTTATCCCAGGGCCTCTGGGCCGCCTCTCCCCCACCAGGGCTGGTCTGAGTACCAGACTCCTTCTGCAATTCTCCAGAGAATCAAAACCCAGTTCCTTCTCCACCCAGTGCCACTGACCCCTGCCCAAGAGAGGACTCGTGGTGCAGGACAGCAGCCCAAAGGAGCCCCCCTGCTCTGCCCTAGCCACACTGTGCCTGTCCTGCTGTGTGTCAGCCTGGCCACAGGTGGCCACCTCACTGAGCCCTTCCCAGCCCCAGGTCTACCCTCAGGGGAGTGCAGACTCAAGGACCCAGCTGACCCTAGGAAAGCAGGGTGCTGATTAGCTTGTATCCTTAACCAACATTTCCCCACCTCAGCGCGGGCAGCGAGGCCACTCCCTGGGCCTCTGTTTCTGTGGGATTCCAAAAATCTTGATGGTATCCTTCACCTGGGCTGCCCTCTAACACGGTGCATCTCTCCCAGCAAGACAGGTGTCTTTGGCTTTGAGTTCCTGTGGACGGCCATCTGTCCCCTCCAGCATGAGGGTCTTCTTGCCGGTGCTGTTGGCTGCCCTTCTGGGTCTGGAGCCAGGTGCGATGCCCTGGGCCCCGGACCTTCTCACAGACCATGCCCTCCCCCGGCTCCCTCTCCCCGACCCCTGGGCGGTCATTCAGTGGTCCTCCCAGGACAGCCTCTGTGGGACCTTCTGGCTCCTCTTCCCCAGTGAAGCGAGGCACTTCTGCCTCCAGTGTTAGGGAAGCCTCAACACTGGCCAGGCCACACTGTTGTCACCCGTGTTTGGGGGTCACTTGAGCTCACCAGGGCCAGGGTCTGGTGTTATTTGTCATTGTCTTGTCTTGGTACCCAGCCCAGAGCCTGGTGTGTAATTGTTGCTCAGTAAATGCCCACAGCTGGTTAAGTACAGAGGGCAGGCCTGGGAGGCACACTGGAGGCCGCCTCCCACAGGAGGCAGGTGTCACCCAGTGTCCCTCCTTCTGCAGTGCACTCTCTGGTGTGCTTCTCCTGCGTCAACCAGAACAGCAATCTCTACTGTCTGAAGCCCACCGTCTGCTCCTCTTCTGACAACTACTGTGTGACTATATCTGCCTCTGCTGGCATTGGTGAGTGCTGGCCAGGAGCACCTCAGCCTCGCCCACCCGACCCCTTGGCTGTCTCCCATGGCCAGTGCGACCCCTCACAGTCTGGTTTTCCTGCAGGGAATGTCGTGGACTTTGGACACACCCTGAACAAGGGCTGCTCCCCCATCTGCCCTGGTCCTAGCGTCAATCTCGGCGTGGCGTCTGTGGGCACCCACTGCTGCCAGAGCTTCCTGTGCAATTTCAGTGCCGCCGGCCGGGGACCGCGGGCCAGCACCGCACTGCTCGGCCTCGGGCTCCTGCTCAGCTTGCTCTCTGTTCTGCTGAGACTGGGCCCCTGACCTTCTGGACCTGAGTCCCCCATGTCCCCCAGCTCAGGAAGAAAAGCCCCATCCCTCGCAGATCCCAGGAGGCTATTGGAGCCTCCAGCTCCTTGGCGTGCCTGATCCCCCCACCTTGGGCCAGAACCACCCCCTGCACCTACCCCTGCACAGCCCCTACCCCATGTGGGGCCAGCCGCCCTCACTTCTGCAACCAATTGTGTGACCTTTCTCAAGGAACCAGGACGGGATGAGGGTTCCCCTGAAGTCTTAGGGTCCCCAAGGGCAGGACTGAGCCTTGTGGACACCAGAGGGACATTTAAGCCATCAGCCCTAGGCGCACTGAGTGTGGGGTGGTGGCAGACACCAGCGTTTTGTGAATGTTTAGGTGCGAGTCCCTGGGATGGTGTTGTGAGAGGGACAGGAGAGTCCCGGGCAGCAGCAGCCCCCGGAACCCTGATTCACCAGACCCCCCCATCTGCACCCACATTGCACTCACTTCAGGGGTAGCCTTTAGGGGCGGGGGGCTCCCAGTGCTTCCAGGCATGGGCTCCCAGCCCAGGTCCTGCTGAGCCCTGCCTGGCCCTCCTTGCTCCTGCACTGGCACCCCGCTGCTGCCTCAGTGCCTCAATAAAACGTTGCCACCCCTCTTGACTACGGTAGTTGCCTCTCCAGCCGGCCTCTGAGTCCACCTCCCAGAGGCCCTCCTGGAAGCAGGAGCTGAGGTCCTCTGGTGTAGTCCTAGATGGAGGCCCCATGGGGCAGTAGAGGAGGAGGTCTCCAGGCCTGTGACCAGTGACCACTGCCATGCCCTTTACCCTGCCCTGGAGTGAGGTCCATTGAGTGGGTCTGCATCCACAAGGCCAGGGGGAGGCCTGGGCAGCAGCCTGGGTTGAGGAGCTCTGAGAGTGGGGCCGCAGTCCCCAGGGCCTATGGAGGAGCAGGAGACCCCACAGAAGGTGGGTCAGGCTGGTGCCCCCAGGAAGCATGACCCCTGGCCATGGCCTGTGCTAGGCTGAGCTCCTGGCTTAGGGCTAGTGAGGCGGCAGAGTTGCCTGTCATCTTAGACATGTCCCAAGTCTCCTGGACAGTGGCAGGGTCTCCTAGCCCTGCTTGTGCCCAGGTCCTAGGGGCCCAACAGGGTATGGCGGTCTCCATGAGCACACACAGCAGGCTCTGAAACCTGTGAATGTAGTGTCCCTTGCTCCAAGTCCAGGGCCTCCACCCAGTGCCCTGAAGGCCTGGGGGGGAGGCTGCCTAGAGCACAGCCCTGCCCCGTGAGCACCGACGATGCTCTGGAGCAGCAGCTAGAAACACCTCAAAGCCTGGGATGACCGGAAACGAGGATGGGTGCCCGTCCAGGGGAATCTGAGCTTGTCCCCCAAGAAGTTGAACCCAAAGCCATGGTCAAGAATTAGAATCTGACTCCAGTGGCCCCGGGCAGCGAAGGCCTCCTGACCAAGGCTTGTGCTGGCTCCCACTTCCTGTGTGCAGTGCCCAGGTGTCATTAATGTGGTTATTCTCATATAACTGTGAGGTGGGTGGAAGCACTTGCTGTTGGTAGGGGGGCCTGGTTCCCTTAGGGCGAGGCAGCCCACACCTGGGACTGTGGGTCCTGCCCTCACACACACACACACACACACACACACACACACCCACCCCGTCCCAGGGGAGGCAGAGGCTGGCAAGAGTCCACCTGGGAGCCTGGGCTGGGGGGAGGAGCTGGAGGCTGAGTTTCTATTTCCCGACTTTGGATGGAGGAAAGGGGAGGAGCCCAGAGGCTGGGTTCTGTTTGCTGAGCCCTGAGGGGGAGGGGGGGCGCCCGGGCCTGAGCTGCTGGAGGGGAAGCAGGCCCATGCCCCACCTGGGGTGGTCTGAACTCCACAGAGCCCCGGCAGGCCCAGGCTGGGGCCAGGGGCCAGGTGCAGGCTGCCAGACTGCCCACACTTAACCAAAGCCCAGGTGGCAGGATGATACCTCCCGGTCCTGGGTTGATGGTGGGACAGGAAAAGGACTTTGATTTCAGTATGTCACCCTGGAAAGACGCTGGGTCTAAAGGCAGGTCTGGGGTACCAGTAGCAGCGCTGGGGTTGCTAGTGGGGAGCAAACAGGCCAAGGTGGGTGTGCCTGGTGTAGAGCATGGTCGGCTTTTGTCTTTCAGGTGCTATCCACTGGGTTTGTGGTCCTGGAATTCAAAATACATTGAGGGAAAGAATAACTAGGACAGGACGGGCCAGAGAGAACGGCCAGGTTACTAGAGTCGTCCACCACCACGGCACATCAGCCCCAAGTTCTCTGATATCTTCCCACAGATGGGTGTTTCTGGAGGGT